TTAAAGACCTGAAATATTTCAGTTGGTGTGCAATGAATCTGAAATATATGAAAGTTTCATTTTTATCATTACATTATGGAAAATAATTACCTTTTGTAAGGGGTCTGTAGGGATTAGTACAAAACCTGACTCAGAAATACATTTAAAAATGTTTATTTTTCAAAGGCGGCGTCTGGTGGATTCGGGCCTCGATTCTGGTCCAATCTATAAAGACAGACAGGTTAGTGACTGCAAAGAGATTCTGAGGGCTGAGAGAGGAGGTGTGCATATCACTAACCTTCTGGGGCAGGAGTTGGGCTGAGGCAGGAAACAATCCAGGGACGAAGCAGGGGTCGAGATCCAGGACCAGTGTGAGCAGGCAAAAAGATCCAAAAAGGAGAATCCGTGGTCATTGTCGAAGAGGGGAGCAAGGTCGTACCGTGTAAGCTGCAGGCGTGGTATCCAGACAAGGGCAAGACAAGGCGAGGAGTCGAGAACAAAGCTGTGGTCATGAACAAAGAAACTATGGACGAGGACTGCTGGATAATTTACTTGCTGTGAGGCTTTCAATAATCTGGCACCTTGCTGTGGCAAGAGTTGAGTTTATAAGGACTGGCACCAGGTGTAGAGCATAAGCACTGATTACTGTGATCAGGGAGGATCAGGCAGGCAGGCTGCACAGGGTTGATTGACAGGCAGCTAGAAATGACAGAGGGGAACTGGCCAGAGTAGAACATAAACCCAAAGCTTATCAGAGGAGCAGAACAAGATAAATGTGTGGCAGGGGTCCAAACATGACAGAGCCCCCTCCCTACGGCCCAGCTCCCAAAGGGCCGCCAGGTTGGTCAGGGTGGGCTCGGTGAAAAGCCCTAATCAGGGACTTGTCGAGAATGTGGCGACTGGGGACCCAGGAACGCTCCTCGGGGCCATAACCCTCCCAATCTACCAAATACTGGATACCCCGACCCCACTGTCTGGAACGGATGAGTCTTCTGAGAGTGAGGCTGGGGCACCATCAATGAAACGGGCGGGAGGAGGGGGTCCGGTGGAGGGCCCAAAGTGAGACTGAAAAAAAGGCTTAAGGCGAGAGACGTGGAAAGTAGGGTGGATGCGCATGGTACGAGGAAGCTGAAGACGGGCTGCCACGGGGTTGATGATCTTACTGATTGGGAAAGGACCGATAAACCGGGGTGCCAACTTCTTGAAATCTACCCGCAGGGGTAGATCTTTCGTGGACAGCCAGACCTTCTGGCCTACTTTGTAATCAGGTTGGACAGAACGCCTCTTGTTGGCCCCTCTGGCATATGTTAAGTTAGCCCTCAGGAGTGCCCTCCTGGCTCTTCTCCAGATCCACTGACATCGTAGGGCAGCCCTGTGGGCAGATGGCACCCGAACCTCTTTTTCTTGAATGGAGAAAACTGGTGGTTGGAACCCATAAACTACATAAAAAGGTGACAGGCCTGTGGCAGATGAGGGCAGAGAGTTCATAGCATGCTCGACCCATGGTAGGTTGTCGGCCCATTTGTTAGGATCATCCTGACATAAGATGCAAAGCTTATTCTCTACCTCCTGGTTGGCTCGCTCTGACTGGCCATCAGTCTGTGGGTGAAAACCGGAGGACAGGCTCAGAGAGACACCGAGCAGGCCGCAGAACTCCCTCCAAAAACTAGAAACAAATTGGGGGCCACGGTCAGAGACAATGTCCTGAGGGAGTCCATGCAGCCTGAAAACCTCCCTGGCCATAATCTGACCAAGGTCCTTAGCTGAAGGGAGTTTAGGCAGAGGAACGAGGTGGACCATCTTGGAAAAGCGGTCCACCACGGTGAGGATGACAGAGTGACCGGCAGAGAGAGGGAGACCAGTAACAAAGTCCATTCCAAGATGAGACCAGGGACGTGAGGGCACAGGGAGAGGTCGAAGTAGACCCGCTGGGGGGCGACGTGAGGGTTTGGCTTGGTTGCATTTATTGCAGGATAAAACAAAGTCCTTAACATCAGATGCTAAGTTCTTCCACCAAAACTGGGACCTGACTACAGTCATCGTTTTGTTAAGACCAGGATGACAAAAAATGCGAGAACAATGACACATCTCGAGCACTTCCTTTATTTTATTTTGGGGAATGAAGATTCAACCCTTGGGGCAGCCAGGAGGCGGACCATGATTTATCTGGGCCTGACGCAGCTCTTACTCTAGTCGCGTCATGGCGAGCCGCACCTTCTCAGGAAGGATGAAATCCTTCTCCATTGGAGTGTGACTGGGCTCATCCTCCTCAAGCCGGGACAGGGCATCAGATTCTTGATTCCAGGTCTGTAGGAGAGAGTAAAGTCAAAGCGTGAGAAGAATAGTGCCCACCTGGCCTGCCTGGGACTAAGGCGCTTAGCTGTCTTAAGATACTCCAGGTTTTTGTGATCCAAACAGTGAAAGGTTCTTTGGCCCCCTCTAGCCAGTGTCTCCACTCCTCCAGGGCCAACTTGACAGCAAGCAGCTCACATTCCCCCACGTCATAATTCCGTTCAGCGGCAGAGAGACTCTTAGAAAAGAATGCACACAGGTGCACCTTACCATCACTGCTGCGCTGGCTGAGAATGGCCCCGGCACCAGTGCTGGAAGCGTCCACCTCCACAATAAAGGGTTTGATGGGGTCCGGTGAATGTAGGATGGGGGCTGTAGAGAACAAATGTTTTAATTGTTTGAAAGCGTGATCAGCAGAGTCATTCCAAGTGAACCTGGTCTTAATAGAGGTCAAGGCATGGAGAGGGCTGGCAATAGTGCTGTAATTTTTAATGAACCTTCTATAAAAGTTTGCAAACCCAAGGAACCTCTGCATCTGTTTGCGGTCCTTGGAGGTCGGCCAATCCAGGACTGCCGAAACCTTGCTGACGTCCATGGCCATCTGGTCGGGGGGAGATAAAGAATCCCAGGAATGAAGTGGATTTCTGGTGAAATTCACACTTTTCTGCTTTAATAAAAAGATTATTCTGCAGCAATCTCAATAACACAGCTCTGACGTGTTTACTGTGGGTACTCAAGTCTTTAGAAAAGATAAGAATGTCATCAAGATAGACAAAAACGAACTGGTTAATCATGTCTCTCAAAACGTCATTAACCAGGGCCTGAAACACAGCAGGAGCGTTGGTTAGACCAAAAGGCATAACAAGATACTCGTAATGACCATCTGGGGTGTTAAAAGCCGTCTTCCATTCATCCCCTTCACGAATGCGAACCAAATGGTAGGTGTTTCTAAGGTCTAGCTTAGTGAAAACAGTGGCCCCTTGAATAAGGTCAAACGCCAATGACATTAGTGGAAGAGGGTATTTGTTCTTAGCAGTGATCTTGTTTAACCCTCGATAATCAATGCAAGGTCTCAGGGTACCGCCCTTCTTGCCGACAAAGAAAAAACCTGCTCCAGCAGGTGAGGCAGAAGGGCGAATGATACCAGTCTGTAAAGACTCCTTAATATATTTCTGCATGGTTTTTAATTCAGGATTAGACAAGGAATATAGTCTACCCCGTGGGGGGCTAGTACCAGGCAAAAGATCAATTGTACAGTCATAAGGTCTATGTGGGGGGAGAGAGGTGGCCTTGACCTTGTTAAAAACCTCTCTGAGATCATGATATTCAGCCGGAACTTTAGACAGGTCTGGATAGGTGACAGCAAAGTCTTCTGGCTGGGGGGGACAGACTGCCTCGAACAAACAAGAGGAGAGGCATTCCTCAGACCAGCCTATTATTTCTTTACCCCTCCAATTAATGTTTGGGTTATGCCTTTGTAACCATGAAGCCCCCAGGATGATAGGGAGTTGGGGGGATTTAATGACAATAAATTCCACCTCCTCACTATGGTTCCCTCCAAAAGTCAGTCTGACGGGGGCAGTAATGAGGCAAGAGTCACAGAGAGTGGCCGTCCAAGGCAAGGATCCTGTGATTTTTATTAGATTTTATTAGTTCTATCCCTAAAGCCACAGCAAATTGATGGTCGATGAATTTTGTATCAGCACCAGAGTCAATAAAAACTGGGACAGATGATGGTCTCTTACCAGCAGGCTGTAGTTCAGCACGGATGGTGAATGGTGAGGAGATCTTCAGGTCTCTGATAGGACTCAGCAGGTGTCCCCTCTCCCCTGCTGAGTCTGGTCTTTTAGTGGGCATTTGGAAATAGGGTGGCTGCTATCTCCGCAGTAGAAACAGAGCCTTAATTTCCTTCTCCGGTCCCTCTCCTCAGGCGTTAGGTGACTTCTACCTAGCTGCATGGGTTCATCCATCTGTGGGACATTACTGGGTAGGGTGGCTGGCTTAAATGGTGGGAAGGTTCTGGACTCACCCCAGGACCTGGTGGTTCTTGTGGGTCTGATCTCCCTCTGGCGTTCTCTCTCCATGAGTCGAAGGTCCACTTGAGTGGCCAAGTCCTCCAGAGCTTGGAGAGACCCGGGATATTCCTGGGTAGCAAGGTGGTCTTTGATGTCCTCCGAGAGACCTTGAAAAAAATGCATCGGTTAAGGCTCCATCGTTCCAGCCACTATCAGAAGCCACAGCATGAAAGTCAATGATGTAATCTGTTACACGTCTTTTGCCTTGCTTTATAGTGAGGAGTTTACGACCTGGCTCCCTTTCGGGCAAAACTGGGTCAAAAACCTGACATAGTTCCTTTGAAAAGGCAGCAAAGCTTTGGGTGCTAATGGAACTTCTCTGCCACTCAGAAGTGCCCCACGCCTTAGCCTTACCTGACAGCTGTGAGATAACAAAGGCAACCTGGGCTCGCTCAGTGGGAAAAGAAGAGGGTTGTAGCTGAAAAAGGATCTCACATTGAGTCAGAAAAGGTCAGCACTGATCAGGTTCGCCCCGGAAACGTTCGGGGGGCGTCAGACGAGGCTCCATGGTGGGTGCAGGAGTCTGAACGATAGGAGCAGGGTTCTGTGAAGAGACTGTTTGGTTTAGAGCTTTAAGGCCGCACACAAGATCCTGAATATTAGATTCCAGTCTAATAATAGCCACCTCAACACCAGAACGCCAATCCTGAGTCGGTGCTGGATCCATTTGGCCAGATTATTCTGTAAGGGGTCTGTAGGGATTAGCACAAAACCTGACTCAGAAATATATTTAAAAATGTTTATTTTTCAAAGGTGGCGTCTGGTGGATTCGGGCCTCGGTTCTGGTCCAATCTATAAAGACAAACAGGTTAGTGACTGCAAAGAGATTCTGAGGGCTGAGAGAGGAGGTGTGCACGTCACTAACCTTCTGGGGCAGGAGTTGGGCTGAGGCAGGAAACAATCCAGGGACGAAGCAGGGGTCGAGATCCAGGACCAGTGTGAGCAGGCAAAAAGATCCAAAAAGGAGAATCAGTGGTCGTTGTCGAAGAGGGGAGCAAGGTCGTATCGTGTAAGCTGCAGGCGTGGTATCCAGACAAGGGCAAGACAAGGCGAGGAGTCGAGAACAAAGCTGTGGTCATGAACAAAGAAACTATGGACGAGGACTGCTGGATAATTTACTTGCTGTGAGGCTTTCAATAATCTGGCACCTTGCTGTGGCAAGAGTTGAGTTTATGAGGGCTGGCACCAGGTGTAGAGCATAAGCACTGATTACTGTGATCAGGGAGGATCAGGCAGGGAGCAGAACAAGATAAATGTGTGGCAGGGGTCCAAACATGACACCTTTATCACAATATGCTAATTTTTTTAGAAGGACCTGTACAGAGCTGACCTGGCTGCACCAACAGGTACTTGTATGGTCAAGGGAAGGGAAGTAAGGTAAAGCAATAAAATATAGAAGTCAATAGCAAATAAAGAAACACAAAGTGCATTAACAACAGTTCATTGTCAATGTCAAAAGACAACATTACTATGCAAGAAAACCTTTGCAAGTATAAAAAAAGGGTTGTAAGCTCAACCATCCAGGTAAATAACAACAAAAAAGATTAAATTGTGTCATCTGGACTAGTTTCTTTAAGTGAGAAACGCTTCATCTCCCATCCAGAGGACTTCCTCAGTCTATGGCCTCCCAACCAGATCTGTCTCATAGGAAGCCTTCACTGCTGTTTTTCAAGCCAACCTCCTGTTGGAATCTCAGAAGTAGACTTTTAACACGTGCAAAGTATCTTTGCAAGTATCTTTAAAAATGGCTTTTAAATGATTTTTAGATTTAATTAAACTAATGACTGAAAATTTTTCATTTTAAAACTGCTAATGATTTTTACACAATATGTCTTTATCCCTATTTCCAGTCATCATGACTAACATCTATCTTGCTCCAGCTTTGGCCAAAAAGGCCCTAAATTGTCCGTCCGTCCGTCCGTCCATCCATCCTTACCTGCTTCTTCCTTTCTGGGTCAAGGTGGTCACTGGTGCCCATATCCAGCAGTCACTGTGCAAGAGGCAGGGGACACCCTGGACAGGTCTCCAGTCCATCACAGGGACACATAGAGACAAACAACCATTCACTATCTCACTCACACCTAGGGACAATTTAGATTTACCAATCAGCCTAACATGCATGTTTTTTGGTCTGTGGGAGGAAACAGAGCACCCAGAGAAAACCCACACATGCACGGAGAGAACAAACTCCACCCAGAAAGGCCCCCGGCCGGGATTCGATCCGGTGACCTTCTCACTGAGAGGCAACAGCCTTACTGACTGTGCCACCCATTCCTCAAATCACTGATCTAAACTTTTAAAGATTCATTTCTTAGGTGCACTTAAATGTAAACTCAAACACAACATTTGGTCCTCACAATCAGGCTCACTCACCTCCATCTAAGCTCCTGGACAGCAGGTACCTCTTGCTGGTGGAGCGCTCAAAGCGAGGTGCAGGACGGTCTATAAGAGCGCTGGCCTGTCGAGTTTGAGCCTGCGTCCTTCCACTGTATCGGAACTTTGAACCCATCACCAAGAAGCCTTTAGGGGGAGGCTCTGGAGATACCAAGCTGTGAAATAAAACCTGTACTTAATAGTGCCCCCAAACAGAAGCAGAAAGATGAGCTTTGCAGCTGAACATCAATGTTTCTGGGATAAACAGTCTACATCATTGACATCATTCTGTTGACACTGTTGTAGATGGCCCTGGGAACCCAGGGTCATCTACAAGTGGGACAGCACAGCTGATGAGGCCCTACAGGACTGCTTTGAAATAACAGATTGGCAGATATTTGCAGACTCACGTGAGGGTGACATCAGTGCATACACAGACTCTGCCATGGGCTACATAGGAAAGTGCATTGATTATGTTGTGACTAAAACCTCTATCTGAACTTACCCTAACCAAAAACCATGGGTTGGACTAGAGGTTCATGTTAAAACACGTACTGCTGTCTTTAAATCTGGAGACTCTTAGACCTACAATGCAGCAAAACACAACCTCAGAAAGACCATTGGGCCTTCTCAGAGGAAATATAGGGAGAGAGTGGAATCTTCCCAACAGCGCAACGACCGGAGGTGCATGTGGCATGGGCTACACAGCATCACAGACTACAAGGGGAGGAACAGGTCTGTGGAGCAACGCAGCACATCCTTTCCAGGCGAACTCAACATCTTCTATGCCCGATTTGATGCAAACAACACCACACACATCACCAGCCCACATGTGGATGGTGAGGTTGCCACACACTCTGTTTAGACACTGCTACAGTGAGATGGGCATTCAAGAACGTAAAGCCTTTCAAGGCACCAGGGCCTGATGGCATCCCAGGACAGGTGATGAGAGTGTGTGCTGATCAACTGACCAAGGTGTTTACCAACATCCTGAAACTGTCTCTGAGCCCGTCTATTGTGCCCACCATCTTCAAGACCTCTACTGTTGTCCTGATCCCAAAGATCTCTGTACCATCCTGCCTTAATGACTTTCGGCCCATAGCATTCACATCTGTCATCATGAAGTGCTTTGAGCAAATTATCAAGACTCACATCTGTACCTCTCTCCCTGACACCCTGGAACCCTTACAGTTGGGACGGCTGTGGCTGAGTGGGTAGAGCAGTTGTCCTCCAATACAAGAGTTGGGGGTTCAAATCCACCAGCAGTCACATGCGGAAGTGTCCCTGGGCAAGACACTGAACCTCATTGCCTCAGATGTGTGTCCCATTGGTGTATAAATGTGATAAAGCACTGAATCGTCTCTTTAGAATTATTTGTTCAATTAGCTTTGTAGTGATCTAGTAGAGTGCTGTATGAATGGGTAAATGAGGGCAACGATTACAGTGTAAAGCACTTTGAGTATCTCGATAAGGTGTAAAGGTGCTATATAAGTACAATATAAGTACAGTCCATTTACCATCCATTTATGGTAGGGGGAGTGGTGGCGCAGAGGTTAGAGAGGTGGGCTTGTGATCCGAAGATCGCCGGTTCACGCCCCGGCCCCGACAACATCAAAATTGTGGGTGGGGTAGGTGAAACACCCACACTTGCCCCCACCCTCATTCGCCCCACTCTGGGCCCATGAGCAAGGCCCTTAACCCCCACCATGTGCTCCCTAAACAGGTCTCTCTTGAAAATGAGTTCTCGTGGCTCAATGAGACTAACCTGGATAAATAAAGGCTAAATGAAAAAAAAAAAAACATCCATTTATAGTTCACATACAGAGCAAACAGTCTACAGATGATGCTATTGCTTTAACAGTTCACACATCCCTGAGCCATATGGAGAAGGAAACCATCTATGTGAGAATGCTCTTCATTGACTACAGCTCAGCATTCAACACCATGAGCCCCTCAAAACTGGTCTGCAAGCTTACGACACTGGGCCTAGAGAAGTCCATCTGCTGCTGGATACTGGACTTCCTCACCAACAGACCACATGCAATAAGAATTGTCAGTCACCTCTCCTCAACACTAGTCTTCAGCACTGATACACCTCAGGGCTGTGTCCTCAGTCCACTCTTGTACTCTCTGATCATGCATGACTGTACCCAGCAGGCACAGCTCTAAAGTCATCTTCAAGTTCGCTGATGACACCACCATCTTGGGCCTCATCACCAACAACGAGAGTGAACGAATGAAGAAGATGATAGTGGACTTCACAAAACAGCATGGAGGCCAGCACTCCAACATCTACATAAACAACATTGAGGTGGAGAGGTCAGCAGCTTCAAATTCCTCGGCATTCATATTACCGAGGATTTGTTCTGGACCTTACATACAGACACTGTGGTCAAGAAAGCCCAACAAAAACTCTACTTCCTAAGAAGACTAAGGAAGTTTAGTACGAACACCAGCATCCCCACTAACTTTTATAGGTGCACCATTGAGAGCCTGCTGACAGGCTGCATCACAGGGTGGTATGGGAATTGCACCAATCAAAGCTGGAAAGCTCTACAGAGGGTGGTGCAAACAGCAGAGGACATCACTGGTAGCAGTCTTCGCACCATCCAGGACATCTACCACAGCCGATGTCTGCATAAAGCACGCAGCATCATTAAG